AGGTCAGATACAGCAATAACTAATGAAGAGTATTCAAACTGACTCTCCAAAGCAGAAAGAAATAATTTAATTGATCATAGACAAGATAATGCAAACAAACTAGAAGTTGTAACTAAAAGTAGGAGCTATTTTCTCCTTCCACCAGAACCTGAATTCAGTTCCTTGAAAAAAACCTATATGGCCTATATAGATTCTATTGTCCTATGTCATATACGGTGGAATAGCTATCTGTGACTTGCTTTGATATGGCTAAGGGGTCAGAACTGAGCAAACATAGGAGTTATCTGCAGCATCTGTTAAGTCATATATTAAGAACATATACTTGAAGCGTACGTTTTTGATGGCGTATACGCATTCCTGCTGCAAGATAGCATATACTTCATCTGTTTTCAACACATGACCTTTCTACATATGCTGTCATGCAACTTGTAGCAAATACAAACAAAATCTAGAACCAGGTGACTTCAGAGAATGTTTGCTAATTTACCAGGTGAAGCAATTTATCATATCAGCATGTATCTAGTTTAGTGAACTCTGATCTATTTCCCTTTTACTAACAGATTAGAATACCATGCTGACAGAACATAAGATCGAGAATGCCTGTTTTTCCTCTTTCATAATAAGGACATTTCAGGTGACTTTTACATGACCCAAACGAGAACCACAAAATGAGGTAAGGTATCCTTTCTCCATATAAATAATATGTGGCAGGGAGAAGAAAAAACATTGTTTAGAGAGCTACATTTCCATTAACTATTAGCCTTTTTCCATCAGCCTTTGAAATTTAATAGAGGACTAGTACAATGGAAGGAGAGAAAGCAGACAAATCTGTATTCAAAATCTAATCTGCAAATAAACAAGAGGGTCAAAGATTTCAGATTCATAAACTGTATGAAGTTCAATTCTCTAAATGACATGAGACAAGTTTTCTAAGTCACTGTTTTTCAGGTAAGAAAATCATACTCTAAGATTTTTCCACCCCCCAAAGATAAAAGTAATTACCATCCCACTGCATATACTATGGCAGATTCCCTCTGCCACAAAGAACATATGTCACAGTGGTATGAGATGGAACCGCAACTAATATTTGAATGTAGCCAACAGTCCAAAGGAGACATCTTTGACTTCCACTGAGATTATGAACAATACACGTTTCTTTAAACAGAATGGCCAGCATAGTATTCTTATCTCTACAAACAGACAGCAGCAGTAACCAGACAACCAGGAATAAAAGAAAATCCAAAACACAACATCACAAAGATGCTACCTGCCAGCTCTGCATTACTTCTATAAAGTGATAATGTCATATAAACCAAGGCATTTTTGATGAGATGGAGTTTACAAAGGCACTTCATATGTAAAATTCCATTTAAATGATTGCATGAAGAATTTAGATCTATTGAAACTATTAAGGAATTCCTAATTACACTTTCCTCAGTAGAAAAGTGGACGTTTGACAGGACTGGGTACATGAAAAAACATGTTTAAATTGTATTACATAAAACATTTGCAAATATTTTCCTAACAGACGAGTATCACCCTACAATGTTTCTACTTCACAGGGTGAAAAATAAACACTTCGGTATAGCAATCTCTCATAATATACCTGCTTAACTCTGCAGCATAATACAAACTACATAATTTTCCTTTAAAGTGCATTTAATTGACAGATTTTTGTCACTCTGATATCAGTCATGAAACGCAACTCAGAAAAATCAAAGCAAGTTCCCTAAATAAATATTAAATATTACTTTAATGTTGGTTTAAAGAAAAAAGTCAGAACTTCACATTTTCTCAATTCATGTTTAAGTGATATATCAGCAGATGCTTTTTGCTAGTATGTAGATACAAAACTTGCCTGGATCTAATTTAGCAGCAGTATACTTCTGTAAATGACATACTTCTGGGTATGGACAGGAATTTTGGTGTCTATCTATCTGTACTGTCATTCCGCTACCCAATAATGCCAAAAATTTGTGGGAACTACTGTGACTGAAGATCTTCTGCAGCTAAACATAAAGTCCAACTATCTAAGTCCACTAGAAAGCCACAGATAAACATTGGCACAGAGGTGGACTCAACCTAACACACCTGGCTTTCAGTGGCCTTATCACCTCAACTTAGTACTGCACCAACAGCAGCTCCTCAGCTTCGGGTTTAGACTTGACCCTAAACCAGTCACTTGAAAGCACGACGGGCAAGGGGAGGCTGCCTATTTGAAAACATTTTGTAGATATCCATCACCATTTACTAAATTGATGTAAGAAGGCCCAAACACCAAAATCAAAACACGTTTGCCTTGCTGGGGCTCAGCATAGTTTGGATACTGTCTATGGCTTCAAGCCTCAAGGCAGGCATACCAGGAGCAGAATTTACTTGGAAAGTTTCTTCAGGTGGAATTTTTTAGAATCACAGTTTTCCCTGATCTTCTTCAGAAGTTCTTACCTACGCCCTAGTATGCTACCAAAAGTGTGAGACATATGATCTATATTTTACTTCTTCTGGAGAGCATGATAGATTTTCCACACAACACACTCAAATAGCTATTGCTGAATAAACATAGAAGGGCTTCTAAATACAATTGTTCTTTGCACAAACAATAAAATATAGATTATAGATTTAGACACTAATGCCCATTCTGCTTGAAACATTCTTAGGATCAAAGTTTGAATAATCAGTCATTCTCCTGCAGCAACAGTCTCTTGAACTCTCTCTCACAGTCAATTTGAACTGACTGTGGTTTTTCCTGCAACTAAATAAAACCACTGCTCGTAAAAATGAAAACTAAATCAAAATCTACTCTTTTCTCTTTGTGCCATCAGATTCCTCTGAATCTCTTCATTACTCTTTAGCAACCTCATTTTCCTCTGTGATGAGTAATTTTTTGCTCTCCAAACTGTAGCCTCTTATAGGTACATGTGGAGCAAAGAGGTTCACCTCAGCTTTTCACTAGGTAAATCTACCTCAGCGTATACCCACCATCTGAAAAAGACATGAAACAGTCCATTGTGGATTGCATGCTCATGGTGGGGCAAGCTACAAGCCATTTAATAGCAATTATTACTGACAACTGATACATAGAAAAATTTCCAAAATCATCACAAACCAATTATCTGTCTGGAGTTACTCCAGATTTAGCCTCCCTTGAGTAAGATTATCCATACCAAAACAATATTCAAACTAAAGTGATTGATGCATGTTCTGCCTCAAGCTGCTCAGTATCTGCTAGCTTGATGACTGAAAACATTCAAACTTGAATCCACTTCCTCCAACAGCCTAGTTAGATTGATCTTAAGGCAACATAAATATCAAGCTAGACATTATATGTATGGAGAGTAAAACCTGAATATTAATGTATGCAGTATTCAGTACAGTGCAAGATCATAAGGCGTGAGTTAAAGTTCTCATACCATAAAGCAGAAGCCTTATATCTACTTACTACCTCTTTTTCAACATAGACAAGAAGTCCAGCTCTTGGCTCTTGGCTACAGTATAATGCAGCTTTAAGAACAGTCTATACTGCAGTAAAAATCCAGACAAGCCTAAACTAGCTCATTAACTGAGTTCCTGGCTGCACATGTTACATTACTCTGTTGTCTGAGGTAGCTAGGCACACTCAGTACAGCAGTGACTACAAAGTATGCATGACATTAATCTCTAAGGCCTAGCGATAATGGGTGTGAAGTTCTGTAGCACGAAAAGGATTTCTACCCTGCTAAACAATTTTACTACGGACTTGAAAGTTACTGGTGTAATGATCGAATCTTATTTTGTTTTGCTTTTATGGGGAAGCATAATAGGTGTTTGGCTTCCTCCACAGTGGGAGCAAGGGAAGAACGAGGTGACCAAGGGGTAATTGGGAGTCCAGCTTAGATGCTGGAAACACTCTGCTCCCAGTGTCCAAACATAAACCACAAACTCATGGCCATCAGAACAGTACAGCGATGCATGCTGCTCAGTAGCCTTAAGCCTGACTCATTGCTGCTATTGCCACGTTCAGGTGATGGGAAGGAAAAAAGAGGGGTGCCCTGAAGGTATGACTCAAATGACTCTGTGGTGGGGCAAGTAGATAGTCTGACAACCTGGGAGTGCAGGTGAGAGTTTTCCCAAGGAAAGTGAAAGGAAGAGAAATTTAGACTATACAAGGTAACTAGGCTTGCCCAGTAGGAAAGCATAGCTGGCTTTGGGTTGTGAGCGTTTCAGAAATTTCCTTTATTTTTACCTCCCCAAAGAGGGATAAGCTGACTATTAGAGCCCATGAATGTTTGGTCATTAATTGTAATGAAGCCAGTACTTTATTCCGAGAGATAACTGGGGAGTATATTTCATTTATTTTGCTTGTTTCTTCTTTTGCTCTAAAATAATTATTTGTTAAGAGTAAGACTACTTACAGCATGCACTTTTTGCTAGCGAGGTTTTTATTAGAAAAAGGGATAGCTCCTAATTCATTTGGAGAAGAGCATCTTCAGAGCTAATTTTCAGCTTATAAAAAACTCACGCCCTATTGTTACTGGTTTTATTTAATTCTGTATAAACCTGAGAAAGAAAATATGGATACACCTTCAGTCTTATTTTATGCAGTACTGCGTAAAATGGCCTCTCTATTGGAATGATAATCTACTGTCAGCCACCGAACTGCTCTTTATGACTGCTTGAACAGGACCAATTTTAGATCTCTTGATTTATTCTGTTCTTTTAATACTGAGATAAAAGAAGAGTCAGTTAAAAAGCTTAATGTTTGAATAAATGTTTTCATGATGCTAAGTGAATATAAGAGACAGAATGCAACTCACTTGGGAAGCTGGTTACTGGGTAGCTGGTTGCTCTGATTTACACTTTCAAACATTCTGGCCATCACAAATATTTCAAAAAACCCCACACATTTTAACTAAGAGTCTGGCTGCTTATTCCACTGTTTAAATGCAAGTGAGTAACTTCAGCTAGCACCAATAAAAAATACAGATAAATGCACTCAGAAAAGTGTATATATTTCCCTTTATTTTCCAATACAGCTCAGGATACTTGTAAATATATACAACATACATATAAATGTATGCATATACATACAACACATACACAAAATGCTGTTGACTACATCAAATTGTAGAATGTGTAGAAAGCAAAGTGAGCAATGTATCTTGCAAATAAATCAACAATGTTTTAGTATTTGGTTTGTCATATCCTTCTAAAAGAAGATAAAAAAAGAGTTGCAAGTGGCTAAGAAAGTAAATCAAGGTAGATGAAGGATGTCCTACCATACTTTAATACCTCTAATAAGCTCAAATATAGGAGCTCCCCCAGGCTTCAATGCAAAAACATCAGAATTCTAATTGCTAAGTGCAATTATTAATTTATACTGGCAGCTGAGTGCATATATACTAATGATACATACAATTATACATTATGGTTTATGCATGCAAATTAACAAATTAGTCTCCAGAATTTTGAAATATAATTTTTTCTCATTTTTCTAAATCCTTTTATAAGCAGTTTGGTGCCTAATATGGATGCCATCAATACAGATGTCCATAGCACAAGTCTGTGTTGCTGCTGTATAAAAATATTCAAGTGAATGTTTAGCGAACAATAGCAATTCACGACAATTGCCTGAGCAAGTCTATGTTGATGCACTCTCGATTAATGACAGCTCACTTCTATCAGGTAAAGCTAAGAGGCACAACTCTTGATTAAGTTTGTTCCACTGAATGAACAATTTGTGACAAGAACTATTGCAGAAGGAGGGCCATGCGTGCAGAACCTTGTAACAAAGAAACTGAGTAACTATATTGATCATGGATCAGAATTACTGTCTGCACTGCTTGTATAGGAGCTCATTTAAGAAGCCCAAAAATCTATAGGACAGAAAGTCTGGCTCTCAGACTCACAAGAGATTCTCTGAGCTTTTGGCCGGAAAATCAATTAGCTAGGCATTCTCTATATTGCAGGCTATTATAGTTTATTCCCACCTTGAATCCAAATAACTTGCATGTAACCAATGTGTAATTTAACAAATGATATCCACATTTAACTCAAAAACAAAGACAGAAAATTTACTACATCTCTGCTCCTATTTTTGTGTTTTTTCCCAGCTGCAAATTACTTTTACAAATGCAGACTCTAATTTAGCTCTAATTTCCAGCCTTTGCAGTGTAGAGTCCCATTTGTACTGAGGATTTCCATCCTATGTTAATACACAGGATGTAAAAATATGTATATAATGCAATCAATTCTCCTTATTTTGATAAGCTAAAAAAATTAATATCTAACTTTGTCACTATTGGAAACATGCTCTCCAGAGAGGGACATTTCCTCCATTTCTCTAATAAGTGTGACTGTTCGCTCTCTCCCCTTGGTACTCTTCCCATTTTTTCAAAATCCTTTTACAGTGAGTTAGGTGTCTAACAGGGATGTCATATCATGACATGGGATGACATCATACAGATGTCAAACTTCCTCCCTGCTACAAATAAATATTCCCTTGCTTATACAATCAAGCCAAAGTGTCACAGCAAATGTTTATGTTGAATTATTACATATTTTCCAGAAAGCAGCCTGGAAACAAAGAAATCCCCTTTCCATAACCAGTTTTCTTGTTTCCAGAAATAAAACTTGACATCAGGCTAAGAAAACATTATGTATTAGCAGAGCTCAACAAATGGTCCAAATTACCCTGTAAAAATAATTTTTTATTATTTACCAATCCATTTATTTTTGTGTCATCTGTAATATTTATCATAAAAATGTTATAATTACTTCCAGATCAACAACAAAAATGTTCAGTAGAGAGGTCCTTTGCTGGTCTTGGCAGATGATAATGATTCTCCACTGACATCTACCTCTGTGATTTCTTATTAGTCAATTCTTAACCTATTTATTATGGGATAAACTGACAAGAGTAGTTTCATGTTTGTAAAGTAGGAAACTGTATGGTATTTAGGCCTTATAAAAGTTCATGAAACAGTTTATTCAAACTTTAAATGATATTAGCATTGATTACTTTCCTTAACTAACTCAATGGGGTTCATTAACATGCCTACTTTGGAACATCCAATGGCTGTTACTATCTCTAATATGGAATAGCTTATCAGGGGAAGTCCTACATAGAGCTTCTAAACCCAATACCATTGACATTGGATCACCATAATTTTGAAAGCACTTGATGTTGGTATCTCAAATGAAACTTGAAAGATGTCTTAAAATAGCTGTGGTGTCAGAAGTTGACAATCATTGCTTATAATAAGTCAACCTTAGGCAAAAGCGTCCATTTAATTCTTCATTAATTCATTTTTTTTAATTCCTATTAAAAATAAATCCTTAATTATTTCATTCCTTCATGGTGCCACATGTTCTAGTTTATGTATCCTATAATAGAATTTTAAATTTATCATACACAATTCTGTAGAGAGATTATAATTTTCTAGGATCCCTCTGTAAGGGGCAGAGGAAGCTCTGAGAGTCCTAAGCCAAATTAATAGACACTAATAATAATAATAAATGTGCATAAAGGAGACATAAAGGGTACAGTATGCTTCCCAGAGCACATGCCTTGGAAGGGCAGTACCATACAGTATACAACTTCTGTGATACAATTCAGGCTATGACAGGGTTATTGCAGACACGGGTTCATGCTACCCTAGTTCAAACCCAGAAAAAACAGTGCTGCCACCTCTGGAGACCCTTTCCCTTTGTACGCCTGTACTGGCACCACTCATGTTCCAGGTATAATATATAAGTGGTCCCAGGAGTAGGGCAGGTGAGAAAAAAACAAGGAATGATGTGCAGGTTTACATTCCTTCAGATCTTCCCCATTAAAGCTGTCTCTGAATCTTGCAGTCTTTGAAATCATTTTGTTAAATTCTCCTTTCTTATGTTATCTAATAAAAATATGCATTGTCATTTACTTCTGCACATCATCCCTGGTGTGAAAAGTCATCAAATGAACCTCTTCTAAAGCTAAAATTTACTTAAAGAATTCATTGTATATAAGGCAACATTATGATTTTTCAGGAACCTGACTTGTAGTTTGTGAACACATGCAATTATTCTGTAAATGACAGTAGAATTTGACTGTACAAACTACAACCAGTTTTCCAGACAATTTACCTTGAACATGGGGAAATTCTGACATCTTATGGTTGTTCTTGTAAATGACTTACTGAATAACTGTGGTCCCAACATTAGCAGAAACAAAATGAGCAGTTTAAATGCTATTCAGATTCCTGTAAATTAACTTACACACTCTCACATGTGTCACTGATACTGAAACAAAATATCTTAGCGTCCTTCTGGTGAAGACTGAAGTCTTACGATACTCTTTTGTCCCCCTCCTGGATTCACCTGTAACGGTCTTCACGCACTATTTCTAATATACCAAGTGCATTAGCAATAATGAAAAACAGTGCCTTGTATTAGCACCAGTCTTATCACAGCCATTCCAGATTTAGTCAGATAGTGCATACAGCAAGTGTTTACACAGTATACGAGAACTGACTACACCTCTGAAGAGTGTAGTGAAATATCTCTCACTTGTACTTTGAATAATCATTGAACATATTTTGCTTATTTTAAAGCCAATTGCTAGCACGCGACCAGAAGATTTAGGATAGCTAGACTTACCAGTTTTTCACCACAGAACAAAAAACAGTGTTTCAGTCTACACTCTCAACTTTTTCTTGCTCCTGTTCCATATCAACTTTGTCCTGATCTCATGGTGCTCCTTTTGCACAGGACTGTGCTCTTGATCAAAACTGCCAAAACTCCTTTGAAAACTCTTCTGAGACTTCTTTTTCAATTAATTGTACAATTACCTGGGTAGAGGGAAAGTAATGAACAAAGAGTTAGTGTGACACATGCTTCATTGTCAAAAGACAGACATATAGCTACAAAGGTCCTCCCGGGGAAGGTGGCATACACTCACTCTTGTTTTAAAAATGTTTAATTAGATCCTTTAAAAATAAATGCAAAACAATACCTTAAATCTGACAATAAATGAATAATGCCTTTTTCATGGTAAAGGGCAATACATTAACCTCACAGCTTTCCAGCACGCTACATCATACTTTTCCTCATTCCTCCCCTTTCATAGGGACAAAGGGTTAAAAGTAGATTGGTTGTAAAGGCTCTGTGGATATTAAGTAAAGAGTACACAAAAAGTAAACACCTGAAGAAAGTCACTCAGAAAGCAAACACATTCTAAGGAAGAGCTAATATCTAAAAAAAACCCAAACAAACACTTTTTTAATGCCACAAGGCATAGTTACTTGGGTAAGTAAGGTGTTTTAGTTTCTAAGACTTACCTAAAAGGCGCAAGTTAATGGGACAGGTAAGGGGGCACCCCAACAGATGTAACTCAGGAAGAAGAACTAGTGCCTTCTAGATTAAAAGGGGATGGATGGGGGTGGAGGAATAGGGCAACAAGATTTAATTGGAAGGCCTCATGGATTTAAAAGAACACCTATAGAGAAATGAAGGGTACAGAGTAAACCCCAAGACAGGCAAATTGCTGCTTACAAATCCCTGAAAATGCAGTAGGTTACTCTAGGACCTAAGCGAGAAAGAGAGCTGTGAGTTCATGATGAACGTAAGTTAGCATAACTGAGCTACTAACAGAAGAGTTATTTCTCTCATACGATTCCACTGAATTAGTTCCTGCAATTGTGTGGCTGAAAAATAATTGTTTGAAGATAAGCAAATAATTCTAGTGCTGTGGAGCAATATATATTCTTTCCAACAGCATTTTGTTTAGTAATACAGTTACTGACACCATGATATTATAGCTTCCTAAAATGAATTCTTCTGATGAACTAGGGAATAACTTCCTCCTGTGATCTAAGTTCAGGCTTTACTGCGTATGTGACAAGCCATCACAAAATTTTCCAATATGGAAATTCACTACGAAAAACAGAGCTCCTATGATGTGAAGAATGTCCATCAACCATATTTCAGGAAAAAATGAATACTGCTTGTTAAGCTTATTTAATCAGCTATGGGATACAAAGAACTCGACCACTTCTGAAGCCCTGTTTTGAGAATGGACTCCTCTGAGAAGTGTGGGATACGTTTTCTCAATCTGAGTTTTGTGTCTGGAGGACTTTCTCATGTTCCCCAGGCCTTTGCATCAGGCTGCACTCATTAATCAGGTTCACAGGAGACATTGCTATTATAGTTAATTTCCAGCACAAGTAAGTAATAATGGACTGCCATCCTCTGCAATGCCTAGGATAGCTGTCTGCCTATTGCTGTCATTACAGTAAGATGCCAGGCTCAATTCGTTACTGTCATACAAACACAGGCAAATTGCCCCATTTAACCAACACCGGCATATTGCATTTTAGTTAGCTTTTGCTCCCCAGCACAAGGCAGTCCATGGACCCAGATTAACAGGAGAAATTTCACTCACCCTGGGCCTGTACAAGCCCAACATAACCCCCTTTCAGACCTCCCCACCCGCAAAAAGAAACTATACATAAAAGAACAAGCAGAAGGTCACAGTAGCACTCTCTTTTTGGTAAATCCCTGGCAGCGATTACAGGCCATTTATCAGTAGCTCAGGAACATTATTCATCCCTCTCTTTCAGCATAGGAACTGACAGATACTGTTACCAAGTAGCTCTCACCCATAGCCAGAACAACTCCAGCTGACTTGACCAATTAGGTTGTTTCATCTTGTAAAATCCTCCTTTGGAGGCTGGCTTATCTTGGAGAAGGATGTGGCAAGGCAGCACCACTGACTGAGCCTGTGACAATTCACTATTCCTATTTGGAGATTAAAGAAGATGCTTTGAAAGGAAGGGAGAAGAAACAACAACCATGTTGTCTTTGTCAGGCCCCTTCTGACAACTTTTGAACCTATTACTCAGTTTCAACAAAATCTGGCAGTGGTATACAGGCTTAAAAATGTTATTTTATCACAAATGTTGTGAAATAGATAGCTAGGGAGAGGAAAAGAACTAAGTTAGTCTCCTGATAGACGCTGAGGGATGGTTTACACAAGTGCAAAAGAAATGCACAAAAGAGTAGGACTTACGAGTTCTGCTGCTCACAAAGCTCGGCACCCTCCCACCTCCAGTTCCTGGGGACAGTTCAGAGTGTAAAACTGGATTCTGACAGAGAAGAATGGAAATGAAAACTACTCCTTGTTCTAATCCAAATGCAAACTGCACTTCTTGATTTTATTTCGTAAGGCCATACTCACTTACTTAATTTGCTCATTTACCATAAACGCATGGTTAGGGTTTTATTTCAGTGGAAAGAACAGTAAGGCATATCAAATGTAGCTAATTTTTTATTGTGGAAAGTGGTCAGATACCCTGGTGAAACAACAAAACAGTTTAGAAATTGTAACAGTCTACTGGACTACCTATATACACATTAAAATTAATTATTCATTTGTGAACTATCTTCATAAAACAATTTATGTTAATAAGAACTACAGTAAGGTTTTTCATTTTTAAGATGCAGCAAGGAAAGTGGAAAAAATTCAAGATGCTAGGTTATACCTGATATTTCTATTGTTAGTTATGATTTCTTAAAGGAAATATTGTAGATTGCACTGATTTGTATTTGCTCATAATTCTAGCATTAGCTAGTTATAAATCTAATACTGGATATCAACTAGAACTACATACATTCCTAGAAATTAGAAATAAAATACTGCTATTCAGACTTACAAACTTGCAGAATAAATCCAATACAATTTCTACTTCTTGTGGTAACACTGGAAGTAATTTTTGTAACTCAGCAACTACCATATTTCCACATGAATGTCACTGATGCATTTTGTTCTGTTTCAAATTCTTAATAGAAAAGTTTTATTTCTCTTAGATAAATGCTTTGCTGATTACTCTGTCAAGCAGTAGCAAGATTGGGGCTGTTCAACAAGGGAAGATGACCAACAGTGGGAGCCAACAGTGTCACTGGCAGGGTCAGTAACAGAGGCCTCTTTCAAACAGACCTTTATCTGAACATGGTCATGGCAAGTGTTTCTCCATCCATGTACTTACAATTGACCGTGCACCAACAAACACAGTCTCAGTACTCAGGAAGGGTGAGCAGAGCAAGTCAAGACTAGGGGCAGAGTCCTGAGCTGAAACGGAGCTCCTGGGCCAACGGGCAGAGGGTGCCTGGGTGGAGGCTGCTCAGGGCGTAAGGCCCATTGGTGCACTCAGGGCTCTGACAGCTACCCAGGAGGTCTGCTCCTAGCACACTTTAGTTACTACGTAACATAAAATTATTTCACTTACATAAAGGTCAGTTTTGTCATATTGTCAGCAGAAGCATGTTAGTATAAACAGAAACCTTTGCAGGTCTGCAGAGGTGAGGACAAATATTCCAGCCTTTTGGCTTGTCACTACAAGCGGGGACAGGTGAATCAAATCTCTGTCGCAAGTTATTTAGCTAAGGTCTGAAAAAATAGGGTCTTCAGATGAACAGTTTGAATATTTTGTGTTGCAGATCAGTGGATGCTTAGCCTTGCGAAAACAGCTTTCTTGGTGATACTGCCTGTTTTCTTGCCTCTGATCGACAAAATTGATTTGCATTTTTCAAATATGCTCGGGTATTAGAATATTTTTTGTCCTTAGGTTGTAGCAGAAAGTACTAAACTTGGTGAGGAATACAGTAATATTTACTTACTGTACAAAGTATGAAACTACATCATAATAAGACCTAAGCACCTTGCTCAAATGAGATAGGAAATTTGTGTTATAGTTGCTAAAATAGGCAGACCTAATAATCTTACATCAGCAACTAGTATTTTGATATTGCTAGCTGGATTTTTGAGAAATCAAAAGCTGCAACTCTGGACAGCCTATGTCTGACTTCTGAAGAGCTCCCTCTACATTACAGTTTTTTCAAAGCATTTTTTCTAATCATTCTAGATAAGACAGCTATTACTTGCAGACAGCTAACCTAGTTTCAAAATGCAAAATTTTCCTGGTGCAGAAATTCCTCCATATGTGGGGAGGAAAAAGAAACTGAATGCCCATCTCATGAAACCAAAGGAAAAGGGACACTAGTGGCACAATCACATGCATGCAACATGCATGCAAGCCATAGCACAAGACAGAGGAAGAATCTGTGCATGTCAAGGTTAATAAACTCCACAGGAGGTAGCTGAACACATCTGGAGTCATTTGGGAATATTTGTGCCATTCTTGCTAGAACCCAACCCCAGTCTTTGCCCTTTGTAAGAAGATGAAGCAGATAAACTGAAAGCTTCTCCTCTCTGAGGCAGACTGCCACTGTTTCACACGCTAAAACCTGACCCACTTCTACTGCATAAAGTACAGCATGCCTTCTGCACGTAGAAAGACTGCTTGTTTCTTTCAGCATGCCTTCGCACAAAGACTGCTCATTTACAAGGGATGGTTTATTTAGCAAAGTTCCTCTGAGCAATTGGTAGCTTGTTTAAAGATCTAGGCTCTTTGCAGTACCACACTCTCTGCCTTTAAGCCCTAATGAACATGTGTCAATGCATCCAATTTTCATAGAACCATGGAATAATTTGGGTTGGAAAGGGCTGTAAGAGGTCTCTAGTCCAAACGCCTGCTCAAAGGGTCATCTATGAGGCAAGACCGGGTTACTCATAGCTTCATCCAGTCTCAAAAAGCTCCAGGAATGGAGACCACACAACCTCTCCTAGCAATCTGTTCCACTGCCTGACTATCCTCATTGTGAAAAAGTCTCTCCTGAAATTCAGTCTGAACCTTTCAATTCATGCCTGTCCTTTCTTGTCCTCCCACCATGCACCACTGTGAAGTGCCTTGCTCCCTCTCTTGACAGCCTCCTCATGAAGGCTGATATTTATATCTCCTCTAAGCTTTCTCTTCTTCAGCCTAAAGAAGCCCAGTTCCTTCAGACTCTTCTCAAAGGGCATGTGCTCCAGCCCTGTGCAGCACTGTGGTTGTTTTCTTGGGCAGTCCTTAGAGAAAGATGTAATTTTTGTGTGGAAGTGAGGGCAAAAAGATGGCCATGCAGGTGACTAAGCGTATCTGTCACTTGACTAGTTGAAGTAGACAGGGAGGGTATGCTTTTCTCCCAGACTTTTGGTTGTCTAGCTTGTAGGTTCTCTAGCGTGGTCTTTTATAACTGATACTACGGAAATTATTGCTGTTAATATGCAGTAAAGTGTTCTGTGACCTCTTACAGCAGTTGCTTTCCCTCTTCAGGGAATGAGATGACATCAAAAAACCAGCTACATACATACATGCATACACTACTACCTTACTCATCTCCACTCCCTCCATAAAGTACGTACCCTGTTTGCAAATAGCAATTCAGCAACGAATTGCTCTCTCAAGTCAAATGGCACTATGGTGGGAGCTAGTTGTTGTCTTATATCCAGCTGCTCAAAAATCTGCTGGCACTCCTGCGACTGTTCACCTCCTGCGACTTCTCTGGAAGTTTCCCCTTTGGCCTTGCAAAGACTCTGCAGTACACAGCAAGCGGTGGCATGGACACGGATGTCTGACTCGCTAAGGCTGAGCCTTGTCCTGAATTTTCTCTTGCACCTCTTCAGTTGGGAACACGTACCCAAATGTTGTTCTGCATCTGCTTAGGCAGCAAAAAAACTTCTCACTGCTTTCCAGATTGCTTTCTTGAAATCATGGACCCATATGCTAGCGGAGATTAGGGCAGGTTGCCTAGCAGGACTACGGGCATTAACTGAGCTCGGTCTGTCAGCAGCAGCCAGTTCCAACACCCCTGCTTGCTGCTCTTCCAGCAGACTCATATCTGAACGCGGTGATGACAAGCGCGTCTCCATCCGGCTGCCGCTGACGACTG